AAGGAATCCGGAAAGAAGCTAAAAGATCTTGATTCTGGAGACTAGGGGCCCTTCCACACAGGTCTATATCCCAGAATATCAAGGCGGAAAATCCCACATTATCTGAGTGTGAACTCAGATAATCCAGTTCAAAGCAGATATTGAGGGATTTTCTGCCCTTATAGCCTGGTACATAGGGCGGTGTGGGCCCTTGGTTCAATTCACACTCAGCAATTAAAACTTTGGATGGGTAATCATTCTCATTTCTAGAAAACCTTATAATAGGTTCCACTTAGGGCAGGCATGGGCAAGCTTTGGCCATCCAGGTGTTTTGGACTTCAACTCTCGGAAATCTCACCCAGCTTACCATCTGCTAGGAATTGTGCAAGTTAAAGTCCAAAACACCTGGAGGGTCAAAGTTTGTCCATGCCTGCCTTAGGGTCATCACAGATCAGAAGCAACATGAAGGTATATCACCACCACCACAATAGTTCAGTAATGTTCTTCAGGCCAAATCCTTGCACCAATGTGCAGGAGGAGCAGAAAACTTTAATGTATATGTTGGCTGTGTTGACTACTTATGCCAACAGTTGAGGGTGAAACCTGTCTTCTGAGTTGCATTCACCACTAGATTGCCAGATTGTTCATAAAAATGCCACTCTGAGACTGTCCTAAACAGAACTGTAACCTGTTCCTGGGTTCACTATAATTTCCTTTTATATCTTCCTACAACAAACTCAATTCTTTGTCAAGTGCAGGTGAGACCTTCACCTGTTTCCCACTCCAACATCCTTGCCCTCTATCCTAGCAACTGACCAGGTAATGCAGAAAATTCAGATTGCCCATTCCCTCCTGAGAGAACAGCTTCACAAAACCAAGAAAACATTTTGTTGGTACCAGGGACCTTTTCTCAGTGCTATTTCTGGCCACACAACTACAAACCTATATTGGGCTCACTACACACTACATCAAGGATTCAGACCACTTCATAGAAAAAAAATCAGCAATCTCAAACTCAGTGCCAATGACAAACTGATCAGATTTGATGTGGTGTCTCTGTTCACCAAGGTTCCTATAGCAGACACCAGAATCAACCAGAATTTCCCAAAAGACATCACAGCCCTGTTTCAACATTGCCTCACTACAAGCTAATTCCAATGGAGCAATGCTTTCTATGAACAGAAAGATGGAGAAGCCATGGGGAGCATCCTTAGGGCTCTTCCACACAGCCCTATATATCCCAGAATATTAAGGCCGAAAATCCCACAATATCTGCTTTGATATGGGTTATCTGTATCCAGGGATTTTCTGGCTTGATATTCTGGGATATACAGCTGTGTAGAAGGGCCCTTAGCCTGGTCATAGTAAATTTCTACATGGGACACTTTGAGAAACAAGCACCAAAAAAAGCCCACTATATGGTTCCGATTTGTGGATGACATCTTCACCATTTGAAGCCATGGAGGAGGAGAACTAAACAAGTTCCTGGACCTCATCAAAGAGGCTGACTTCTTGGTTACCAGAAATCTTGGCCTGACTCATCATGCCCTAGTAAACTTTGGGTTAGATTACTATAATTTATTGCACAATGTGTGTGGGAGTATTGCAGAAGACAGTTTGGAAGTTCCAGCTGTTTCAGAAGATAGTAGCTTCCGTCTCCTATATGTCTTCTTCAAAATTCCCCTTCACAACAGACATCACTCACACAAAAGGATTGGACTGTCAACCAGCTACTTCTCAGTCCACAGAGGAATAGACACTTGGTGCCTAGCAAGTGGAGAGTGGGGGACTTTCGTGGTCTCTGTGTATCCTCTAAACTAGGGGATAAGTAGGAATTGTGGATACATAACAGTCATGACTGCAGGTTATACAGTCATAACTGCAATAAAGGATTCTGGCAATTATTATTAAAACTGCTATTATTAATTGAGTTGTATAAGACACCCTGGAAATAAAAGTAACCAACCAAATAAACAGAATTGTACAGAACAAGCAAAAAGAAGAAGAATAAATAAAATGTGTTTGCACCTCTTAGAAATTAATGTTCCCAGCATGCTTCATCACTGAGGCTGAGGTCAAACATCTAGAGGACCATTCCAGAAAATAAACTTAGACTGTGATTAATTTGTAAAAAACAATCATGGATTTCTTCTGTGGCCTTCCTCTTGTCTGCAGAAGTGTTTTTACCTCAATCTCCACACATTTTCTAAATACTCAAAGATTTTGTCTTTCTTGTCTTACTCTTTTATCTCTCTTTGTGCTGATAAAATTCTCCCCTACTTCATTCTATATTTATGGTCTAGAAGAGCTCTAGAATAATAGGTTCCAGTTGTATGTTGAATAAAGCAGCTTCCTTCAGAATTTTCAAATATTCCTATGTGGAAATTTATCTCAACATTACACCTTTGGCAAATTGTTTTTATTTATATAGGAGTTGTTGTATATCCCAGCAAAGGCAATTCACAACACAGATTAAGGATCTCTTTACGCCGGGCATTTTTGTTCCATTTTGCTGCTTTTAATCATGGCAAGGATATGGCCTGCAGTGCGCCATCTTGTCATAAGACACATGGTAGGCCCAGCCCACATTCCTCCCAAAGTGGAAGAGAAGCACTGAAAGGCATTTTATCCTCCACCACAGGGAGGAAAATGTAGTTTGTGTAGCTCCGACGGTGCTATCCGCACTTTCCACCCCTTTTTGCCATGTGATGGTAGAAAAGGAGGCAGGGCAATGCGCATTGCCACCTTTTCAGCCATCTGATGAGAGGAGTGAAAGGGTGCCAGAGCACTTGCTCCCATCCCCTCCATGTGATGAGGAGAGAAGGGAGGGCACGCAGAGTGCCATATGTCGCCCCACATGCCTTCTATTTTACCAGTGATTGCCGACGCAAACAGCAAAATAAAATATCATGTGAAGAGGTTCTAACGCACCATAAAACACAATACATGCATCAATACATATGTATAGGAATCTAACATTGCTACAAGGGTGGTAGAGTGACACCCAACAGCTATCCAATTACTATTCTGCAACCAAGGTACAATGATCAAAAAGTATATATCTATGTACAGTATTTATGTATGGGTTACAAAAGGTTCTAGGTTTTAAAAGCTATGCTTCTAAAGTGCCAATATCCTACTTGACTGTTGTGATTTAGGTTGTTGTTGTTGTTGTATGCCTTCAAATAATTTCTAACCTTAAGGTAAAGCTATCATGAAGTTTTCTTGGCAAAATTTGTTCAGAAGAAGTTTGACATTGCTCTCCTCTGTGGTTCAGAGTGTGTGACTTGCCTAAGACCACCCAGTTGGTTTCATGGCTGAGCAGAAATTTGAATCCTGTTCTCCAAAGTCACAGTCCAATGTTCAAATCATTGCACCATGCTGGCTCCCTGTGGAGTAAATACCACCAAGTCTAGGGGAAAGACATCCATTAAAGCAGGTATGTCCAAAGCCTGACCTGGGGGCCAAATACGCCAGCCTTCTCCCTTCAGGCCTTCCTTTCTTGATTTTCTCCTTGCCTCCCTCCCTTGACTTTCTTCCTCTCTTCATTCGTTCATTTGTTTGTTTCTTCTTGGGGATCAAAGCCCCGGAAAAGGCAGGCTCCTTGAAAGAAAAGAGAGATGGCAGCCTCTTGTATCCCCTCACCCCGATTAAGCGTGCCCATCTCCTCGGGTAGCTCTGGCCTCGGGTATCCTGTCCCAGTGGCCCCTTGTCGCTCTCTCTTTCTCTCTTTCCTCCCACAACTTTTTTTCTTTATTTCCTTGCAAAGGAAGGCACCCCAATTGACTTGCTTTTCACAGGCACTCAACTGCTGCCTCTGTAACTGCTGCCGCCACAACTGCTGCATGGTCAAGTAGCAGGGGCACAAGAGGCCAAATGTCTGCCTGGCTTCCTTGTTTCCCTTCCTTCTCCATTCCGCCTTCATCCCACATCGCCCCCCCCCCCTGTTTTCCAAAAAGCCTGCCCTTTGCTGCAACTCCTTCCTTGGGAAGAAAAGGGGAGAACCAGGCGTCAATTATAACCCCMCCCCCCCCCCCGCCACCACAATTAAAGATGGCCATTCTGCCTCTGCTGAAAAGCCTCCAGAGACGGCGACTCCACCAACCTCTGAGGCAGCATATGCCACTATCTGAAACAACTTGAAGGCACATAACATCCAAATTAACATGATTCTCTCATCAGCCAAAAGCAGGCCCACACTTCCATTGAAAGACTGGTATGTTTATGTCGGTTAAAATCGTTCTTTGTTTTACATATTGTATTGTTCTTTCGTGACTTTTTTGTACAAATAAGGCATATGCAGTGTGCTCAGGAGTGCATTCATGTTTTTTCAAGCTATAGTCTGGCCCCACAACAGGCTGAGGGACTGTGAACTAGCCCTCAGCTTTAAAAGTTTGGACACCCCTACATTAAAGCCACATATCCTTCATTGTAGGGAACATAAGAAATCGTAGGCCATCACTGTCAACTAATACAGTGAAGACTGTAAATAAATTTAAAATTCATATCTGAATTAAATTTCAGATATCAATGTCAAATCTATCAGTCATCTTGATATATTAAGCAATATTGCAAATTTAGATTAATTAGTATCTAACACACTACATGTACAATTATAAAAATCTATATCTGTAGTGAGTTAGTAGCTAACACACTACATGCAATTATAAAAATCTATATATTTTTCTCATAGTATCTCTAGCTTATACATGTAATTAGATAATCTCAGCATATCCATATCATCATCAGGTTTCATTAAATGATTCCAACACAGTAAAGGCCACCACACTTGCTGAGAACATAACTATTAAGGGGGTGGGGGAGGGGGAAAGATCTAGTTTTACTTTCACATTTGCTCACATTAAAGAAATTTCCTACGTTTCTTCAAAGGAAACAAGTCTGACTATGAAATTGAGGTTTCTAATATCTACCATTTACTTCTGCCTTTTGTAGGAGATTAATAATCATGTGTTTCACCAAGTAAGTAACAACTGACTTCTCTTTTTCCTGCAGAAAAACACAAACAGTGAGAGAAGTTGAAGGATTTGGCTATGAGATGCAAACAATGTAAAACAGGTCTCTGGAAATAGCTCAGAAAAACCAAATTTCTCCGGAAAGTCACTCAACGGAACAAGGAGAATGAAACTATTATGTGGTGTGATTTGTACTCTTTCCCAAGGTGAGTGAAAACTGTAGCTCAGAGGTAGATTATACTTTGCCATAACTGACATCATTTTGAGAAAGAGATGGTGAGAGGCATGTTGGCAAAGGTCTTTAGGGTCAACCTACACATTTCTTTTTTTACTTTTGACTTTCCTCTGGCTAATATCTTGAAAGCAAATCATGAGCAGAAATCTGAAGGAATCAGAATGGTGTCAAATGTGGATTCCAGAAGTAAGAACTGAACTTTCTCAGTTCATGGAATTCCCTCCCAAGAGAGATTATATTGATGATTTTGGGGCAGTTGATATGCATTTGTTCAATATCTTGTTTCGGTTTTACTGCTTTCTTTTAATGTCTGATTGCAATGTCTTAATTTAATTTGGACTGACTGTTATCATATCACAAAGTGCTTGGGAAAGGGTAATTAGAACACCTAACACAAATATTCCCCTGGAGTTTCTCCCAGTTTATATATAATTTCATTTTACTTTATTTTATTCTGTCTTATTGCCCTTGAAAAACTATACATCTTTGGGTGGCGGGTCCTGTGTTTGATAACAAGTGCAGGTTGCAGAGTTTTGAGGGGTAGTCCAAAATGTTTCACACGGTCTGTCATTTTTTCTTGATGTGAAAATGGTTTTCCATTTCTTTTTCCACAGTTTGCTGGGCATTGGAGGGTCCCCAAAGAGTCTCTGCACCCTACGGCAGCTCAATATCTCTGCAGTGTAAATACACAAAAGAGGATAAAGAATTTGTAAAATTCTGGTGCAGAGAGCAAAGTTATCGATTCTGTTCTCACAGCCACCTTGTCCAAACAACAGGGTCAGAGGCAGAGGTGAAGGTGAACAAGACATCCGTAAAAGATAACCACATCTTTCGGGAAATCAGTGTGACAATAGAGAACGTCACTGAAGTAGATGCTGGGACATATCTTTGTGGGGTTGAGAGGTGGAACTACGACATCTCACACCAGGTGGAGGTTATCATCACTACAGGTAAACTGCACAGAGGAAAGCCAATTAATTCCATAGGAAACCTGTGCACTGTAGCTGCAAGCTAGAAACAGGTCTGTGCTGTAATTGGGTATTGGTTATGCTCAGACTTCCAAGTTCTAATTTTAAATGAAGAAATGTTTCTAGTTGTAGATGGATTTAAAGATACTGGGTATAAATATACTTAAGGTACCAGTTCTGATCTGATCTTGGAAACTAAGCACAGTTGGTCCTTTTTTGTATGTTGAAATATGACTTCTAAGAAGTACCGGTGACATAGGCTATATTTCAGAGAAAAACAATGACAAAGAAAAACTTACAAAATTTATGGGGTCGCCATGAGTTGACAGGCAACTCAAAAGCACACAATGATAACCTTTGAAGGGGAAGTAGACATCTAAGGACCGATATACCATTTTAGCCAGCGTATGGCTAGCAGAAACAAAATAAAACAAAAGAAGTATGCAAGTGCCATCTTCTTGGTAAAGAAGGGAGCTTGCCTTGGCCCAATATTTTACACCGCCTTTTTTTTTTTGCAGTTTTGTCATTCAAGCAAACAAATCAAATCCCATCCCTATCCCCAAAGCTTTTAATGAATGGTTGCTTAATGCGATTTTAGTTGTCTGCTCTAGCTGACTTGTTATGATTATGGACTTGCTATAATTGCAATGAGTTTTTAAAAATTACTGTACTTTTGATATTGCTTCAATAGACTGGAGATATCCTAAAACGAGATTAATGAATAGGACATGGCTATGGTGAAGCCCCTGGAGGTGCAGTGGGTTAAAGCACTGAGCTGCTGAACTTGCTGACCGAAAGGTCACAGGTTCAAATCTGGGGAGCGGGGGGAGCTCCCACTGTTAGCCCCAGCTTCTGCCAACCTACCAGTTTGAAAACATGAAAATGTGAGTAGACCAATAGGTAATGGCACTCCATAAAGTCATGCCGGCCACATGATCTTGAAGGTGTCTACGGACAATGCCGGCTCTTCGGCTTAGAAACGGAGATGAGCACCAACCCTCAGTGTCGGACACAACTGGACTTAATGTTAGAGGAAAGCCTTTACCTTTTACCTTTACCTATGGTACAGGCTATGCCTATACTCTTAGACAGACAGGAAAAAATGGGATCTATGGAGTACAGGCATGCTAAGTTTGCTATCTTTAAGAAGTTTTTGTCAGTGTTATTAGAAATTCAGCTGAATGAGTGGAGAGCCCTTGGGAACGGTTTGTCGTCATAATATTAAAGGCCACACACCATGGGTTTCTCACTCTTGAAATAGTATTTACTTTTATTTCCTGATATTTTTGTAGTTCAAGTTTAACTTATGGTATTACCATCATCTTGAGGACAATCTGGGCCAACTCTGAAGTATTTCAATAGTTCAATCAATAAGGAAACATAAATGCACTTCATAATTCCTAGATCAAGATTTGACAGCACAACTTTCCTCCACAGTTTCTTCATCCCTTTCATCAGTCCTTATTAGAAACAAAGAACAAGAAATAAATGACTCAAGTGGATCTACCATAGCTCCTGAAAGGTACCATCTCTACCTGTACCCCTTATGTTCCTGGTATAATTTCAAAAATAGTCTTTGAATAGGATTGGATGCTAAACATAATGTGATCTCATGATTAGGAATAGTAAAAGAGAAGGGTGTAATGATGGCTGGGAGTTTTTTAAAAGCAAGATACTGAAGGCACATTGTAAACAGTGCCAACAAGGAGAGAAAATAAGAGAAGTCTAAAGAAACCAGAATGAAAGTCCAAAGAACTTTCAACTGATCCAAGGTTTTAAAAGGATATGTACAAAAAATGGAAAGGGGGGGGGGGTCACCGAAGAGGAATTTAGACAAATAACCAACATATGTAGGGAAAAGGGCCAAAGGGTTAAAGTGCAATAGGAGCTCAGGCTTACCACCAATAAAAAGAGGTTCTTTGGTTACTTCAATAGAAAAAGGAAGAACAATGAAACTGAAGGGCATCTGCATGGAGAGGATGGTGAAATGCTAACAGAGGATAGGGAAAAAGCAGAATTACTCAACACCGTATTTGCCTCAGTCTTATTCCAAAAACAAATCAGTGTTCAGCCTGAGCAACATGAAGTGAATGAGGTAATAGGGGAAATGCTACCCAAAATAGGTAAATAAGTAGTCATGGAATACCTAGCTATCTAAATGAATTCAAGTCTCCAGGGCTACATTAACTACATCCAAGGGTATTGAAGGAATTAGAAGAAGTAATTTCAGAACGACTGACAACAAACTTTGAGAATTCTTGGAGAACAGGAGACGTCCCAGCAGATTGGAGGAGGGCAAATGTTGTCGCTGTCTTCAAGAAGGGAAAAAAAGAGGACTCAAACAATTACCATCCAGTCAGCCTGACATTTATACCAGGAAAGATTCTGGAACAGATCATTAAGGGGGAAGACTGTAATAACTTAGGCAGCTTCTACACTGCCACATAAAATCCAGATTCCTGTAGTTACTGAAATCTAGTGCTCACCTTTTTTGACTAAATCACCTTGCCAAAATGAGGGTGCGCATTAGATTTGTGCTGTATGGTTATCTTAATGCTGAGCCAAAGCAATAGGGAAAGCTGCTTCACGAACACCTGGAGCTCCTATTTCAGGGATCTGATCTGTAATTTAATTGTCATAACTCAATGCTATGTAATCCTGGGATTTGCCGTTTACCAAGTCATCCTCACTCTTTGGCAGAGAAGACTCAAGGTCTTGTAAAATTACAGCCCCCATGACTCCATAGCATAGCAAAGTGGATTCATTCTACTGCATAGATGCACTCCAAGGTTTTCTTTTCCACTGCTGAAAGCTTTGGTGTTCTAACACTTTTGTTTTTAAAGAAGGAATTCTAAGTAGGCAGCAACTGTAATGGCCATATTACAAAGAGTTCATTTTTTGCTGGTGCACATCACATTTTTTTGTTCAGGGTTCTGAAAATTGAAGTGCATATTATATTTGATGGCACATTAGACTCGAGCAAATACAGTATCTGCTTTAAACTGGATTAAATGGCAGTGTAGACTCATATAATCCAGTTCAAAGCAGATAATGTGGATTATCTGCTTTAATAATCTGGATGATATGGCAGTGTAGACGGGGCCTTAGAAAATAATACTGCGATCACTAAAAGTCAACATGGATTTTTCAAAAACAAATCATACAGACTATTCTTAACTATCTCTTTTTATAGAATTACAAGCTTGGTAGATGCAAGGGATGCTTTGGATGTAGCACATCTTGAATTCAATAAGGGCTTCAACAATGTCCCCCCATCTTCTTATAAACAGACTAGTCTAATGTGGGCTAGACAATACTACTGTTTGGTGGATTTGTAATTGGTTAGGCAACCAAACGCAAAGAGTGCTCAAAAATGGTTCAATTTTATCCTGGAAATAAGTGACTAGTGGGGTATCGTAGGGTTCTGTCCTGGGCCCAGTGCTTTCAACATCTTTATTAATTATTTATATGAAGGTTTAGCTTAGAGACTGTTCTGGCAATCCCATGGAGGGAAGCAAGGTATGTGTGCAGTGCGTGTGGTTTCCCTCTGCCACCCAGGCAACACAGCCTCCATTGCTTGCACCTTGCTTATCTGTATAGATTGGCAGTGCCAGCCTGGCAAGGCGAGAAGAGATGAGAGCCTCATGCCTTACCATTAAGGAGAGTGCATGCCAACAGCTTCCGTTGCTGCCGCCACATGTGTAATGAGTTCCTTAGTGGACAATAAGTTTAACATGACTGAACAATGTGATGCAGCGGATAATAAAGCCAATGAGATCTTGGGCTGCATCAAAAGGGGTATAGTGTCTAGATCGAGGGAAGTCATTGTGCCTCTCTATTTTGCTTTGGTCAGACATATCCTGGAATACTGTGTCCAGTTCTGGGCATCACGATTCAAGAAAGATATTGACAAGCTGGAAGGCAACTAAAATGATCAAAGTTCTGGAGACTATGCCCTGTGAGGAGTGCCTTAAAGAGCTGGATACGTTTAGCCTGCAGAAGAGAGGTTGAGAGGAGACAGGATAGCTATGCTTAAATATTTTAAGTTATGTCATAAAAAAAGAGTGAGCACGCTTGTTTTCTGAAGCCCTGGAGCCTAGGACTCAGAGTGATGGGTTCAAATGACAGGAAACGAGATTCCACCTGAACATTAGGAAGAACTTCCCGACTGTCAGAGCTGTTCAACAGTGGAACTCTCTGTGTAATGAAGTCTCCTTCTTTGGGGGCTTTTAAACAAAGATTGGATGGTCATCTGTTGGGGGTGATTTGATTGTGCTTTTCTTTCATAGCAGGGGGCTGGACTAGATGGCCCATGTGGTCTCTTCCAATTCTACTATTCTAATACCAACTAGTGACTTGTGCTTGTGCTTGTAGTCTATTTCTGTCTTCTCCACATGGACAATCTTCAGTTATTCTGAGCCACAATAACATGGGAATTGTAGCTCATTGGTTTTGTTGGCTGGAGATGATGGGTGCCCTTGTCCAACACAAGTGGAGAGGTCTGGATCTGAGAGTGTTCTGCTACTCTTAACCCCTCTGCCACCCTCATCCCAAAATAGTAGTGGATATTCAGTCATATATGTATTTGCTCATCCTATTCTAAGCTGTTTTTCTATCACTAGAGTAAGAGCCCCCAAGATAGTTAAATAAGTGTATGATATAGTTCTGTATGCATGATGTGCTTGCCGTTATGAATTTCAGCAAACAAACTAATGGAGCATATCCTTTCTTAGTATCCAGTTCAGCAATAATGATTTCCTGTTCACTGTCGTCTTGAAAATTCCCATTTGTCTGGTCATGATAGCTGCTGTAGTTTGGGTAAACATATGGTACAATAAAGGAAGATACCCCAGGACCAAAACACAGCAAAATGAGAAGAACAATTTCAAGTAGTCACAGCAAAAGGTAACTTGAAACTTCTTTTCACTTATTTCCTTTACTCTCAGACCTTTCCATATGACGCAGGACAATAGCTGCCGGGAGGCCAATCAGGCATGAATTGATACTATAGGCTATATGTGAGAAACCAGTTTATTCTCAGATATCTCTATGGCATCCCACCAAAACATGTGATAAATTGGGTACCTGTGTTTCATCTTTCAACACATCTTGAACTTAAGCCTTCAATAAAATGGTTCTAAGCAGTCAGCTCTTTTGTGACATACATTTAAGACTCCAAAGAAGATGCATTCAGCTTTTACAAATTGACCATCAAAATTGTCCACAAGGGTAGATGACATTGCTACACCTTTGTTTTCTAATGGTTCAATTCACATAAATATTGTTTTAGTGACAGAACTGTTAAAACTATTACATACAATTACCTTTAGGCTCTGCGTATAAGTGTACATGAAACATGTGAATTTTGTGTATAGACTTTGGTCTCATTATGTACATAAATATAAATACAAGTATTCCAAAATTTGGGGGGGGGGGGAATCTGAAATACAAAATACTTTTGGCCCCAAGCATTTCGGAAAAGGGATACTCAACCTGTACAAGGTTTTCCAATTTGCTAGCCAGTCTATGGACACTAGGAGTCAAAGATAATCACATTTTTTGTTGTTTATTTGTTCAGTCATTTCCAACTCTTCATGATCTCGTGGACCAGCCCACGCCAGAGCTCCCAGTCCGCCATGGCCACCTGCAGCTCCTTCAAGGTCAAGCCAGTAACTTCAAGGATACCATCCATCCATCTTGCCCTTGGTCAGCCCCTCTTCCTTTTTCCTTCCATTTCCCCCAGCATCATTATCTTACCCAAGCTTTCCTGTCTTCTCACTATGTGGCCAAAATACTTCATCTTTGCCTCTAATATCCTTCCCTTCAGTGAGCAGTGTTAGAAAATAAAATAGTCCTTCTCTGTATAGGAGCAATTTTTTTACCTACAATAACAAAATTTTGATCATTCTTGTGGTGAAGCATTTTTTTTTCTGTTAACATCACTTTGGAGGTTTATATGCTGTCTCTCAGACTATCCTCTTCATGAAAATCTCTGCATGCTCTGAAATTCAAGTCTCTTCAAATAGTGAATTTGTTGGTTTTGGTTTAAATTCATCTGCTTGTTTTCCTCTCCTCTTTCCCCCCTCCCCCATAAATTCACTTTTGAAATATTTGGATTTTTTTTCTTTTGTTTCAAAGGGGGAATTTCCTAGTAACTTTTCCCCATATGAATAATTGCACAGTTGCAAACCTGTTGTTTTTTAAATACCTTGTAAACATCTATTTTGTATAGCTGGTCAACAAATCTAAAAGCACTTTCATCCTTTTTTCTCTAAAGCTAAGCTGAAGGCAAATATAATCTATAAATTTCCGAAACAGTTAAGCAGACTGCAATGTGCCAAGCAATGCATCCTAACTTAGGAACATTAGATCATAAATTCTTTTGGGAGGGAGATTTTAGAAAGAAAGTGATCCACTAATGTGGAAAGTTATTTCTCTTCCTAGATCCACACTATTCTGATCTGCTGGTTTGCAACAGATAGTTTATGCAGATCAGTGTGCAGCTTGGCTTGGCACAATCAGGGATCTTGACATTGCATCAGTTCTTGAACTATTATCCTGACTCAAGCTAGCTCATACCATACAAATTAGGGCTGGGCGGTTTCGTTTCGTTAATTCATAATTCGTTAATAATTCGTTAATTTTTTCAATTACAAAACGATAACGAACCATTCTGGAGCAATTATTAAAACAAACGAATTTTCAAAAACGTTTTGTAAATGCTTCGTATTTCGATATTGTATTCGTTTCGTTATTGTTTTGAGGTCGTTTCGTTATTATTTCCGCATGTCTGGGCCAGTTTTATGGTTTAATTAGTGAAAAAAAATTATAATATCACACCAACAGTCAACAACAGAGGGAGAGGGAAGCTTCAGAAGGTTTTGGAGTTTTTTAGCGTATTTCGCGGTCGCGTCCGCCATTAACGAATCGATTCGTTATTGTTTCGGAAATCGATTCGTTAATTTTTTACCATTTACGAAATTTCGTAAATATCGAACTTTTTAAAAGGAAAATTTTGTAATTATTTTAAATATCGAAACAAAAAAAACCCCCAAATACAAATCGATTTTAGAAACAAATTTTTCCGTTGTTACCCAGGCCTAATACAAATCATTCAAGACAGAACTGACAGATCTGGCACATTCAAAATCTTTAGTATTTGTATCAGTAGTATAATCTTGGCAATATATATTTGCCAGTCTTCTGTATGTGTCAGACAGGGTAGAAAACCTGTGGTCCTCCAGATGTGTCTGGACTACAGCTATGGGCCTTTCCACGCAGCCCTATATGCAAGAATATCAAGGCAGAAAATCCCACATTATCTGAGTGTGGGACTCAGATAACCCAGTTCAAAGCAGATATTGTGGGATTTTCTGCCTTGATATTTTGGGATAAGGGGCTGTGTGGAAGGGGCCTATCTTCATCTTTTATGAGGTTTGATTGGAGTTGCAGCCCAACCACATCAGGCAGGTCAACAAGATGCGGACAAGGTATCTCTGATATTATTAACTATAGCTAGATTACTTATCGGCATAATAATAGAATGAATAACAAAATAAGAGTGGTGAACCATTTATGTAGCTTCTCTTGTCAAACTTGTTTTAAACTCACATTCTGTACAAAAAATGTTCTTAGAACAAGTACAACACACATTCCAAGAGAATTAAGCTAAATGCTCTATTCACATGTTACCTCTTTGTTAATGACTATATTCTTGGTAATAATTTTGTTTCTCTTTCATTTAATGTACTATTTATTTTTATCCTAGGAGTGAACCATGGCATGAACACTACCTTCCATTTCCATGCATAGAACTTGGTTAACTGCAGATGGACATAGCCGGACCACTCATTGGCCACTGGATAAAACTGAAGGCTTTCACTTGAAATCTGATCAGACTGAGTCCATATGGGACGAAAGCAAAGCTTTCATCCAGGTTCTTGATAATAAACATAATCTACAAGCATAGCAAGTTGACCTACTTAGGTGCAAAGGCTGCTTCTCTGTTAGGTTGCATGGGGTTTTGTCTGGGTTGAAGTGCAGCATGTTCTTGTGAAAAAATTATTTGGGATGTATCAAGCAATTACTGCTGTGCAAAGGAATGATCAAAAGGGGTGATGCTTAAATGTCGGAACAGAAAGAGCTTCATCAGCATGCTGGGAATTGTCAGAAAGAGCTTCATCAGCATGCTGGGAATTGTCATCTGCTCAAACAATATGAGAATCCTGTCATGAGCCAACACTCTGGGAAGCCACTCTACCACAAACATATTGATGTTACCTGGATGTATGTGTAATAACTGGCCCAAAGAAGTTCTGATAGCTCTAAATGAATTCCATTTGTCCTTATTTATTCCAATGTGGGCAATTCGCAGCATTGTTTGATTTACTTGTAAAATCCTATTGCCGTTACATTTTGTAGCTCCTTAGTAGGTTTTATTGAGCAGTCCCTAGAGGCATTTTCAGACACCATATTCTCCTTCTCACTGGCTCGTGCTGTAATCTTTAACTGAACTTTCTTTTAAAGGTATATTTTTCTGAGTGAAACAGTCAACACAAGTTTAAGAAGCTCCAACTGTCCCACAATTTTTTCTAGCCATTCAAAGATAGAAACAACAGTGTGGGCTGTAAGAAGACATTGATTCATTACAAGGTGTATGTGGGAGGGGGGTGTAATTGTTTGCCCTGTATGTTGTTTTATCTCAGTAATGAATTCTCTTCTGACGTGTCTGTTTCATTTGACTCCAAGGACACTCCTTCATGATATACAGCCAAGTTGTTGTCAGTGGCTAATGATAGAGCCTCATTAGCTTTATCATGAAGAATTAAAGGAAGTAACATTGTTGTCAGTAGTAATTTCAAACACTGCATTTAAATATACTCACAGTTCCCTCCCCAAAGAGATTGTCAATTTTCAATTGTTTAGTAGCCTTATGGTGTGATGTTGACTCAGGGCTTGTCCTATTGCATTTTCTGTTCCCCATTTCAAGGAGATGGAGTAGAAAAAACAAAAATACAAGAGCCCATTAAATCACGTCCTACTGTGCTGACACCATCTTGCCTTCTAGCAACTTGAACAGTGAGAAACTCTGGTTTCTCTTCAGATCATACAAATCTTTTGCCTTTTACTATTTATTATTTAATCATGTCTTCCTCTTCCCAGCCCAGATATCCATCAGCAAACATTGTTTCACCTGAAACAATCATTTCCTATGTTAATGGGCTCTCACAGGCAGAAAGGGGTGATACAGATCCAGAAGGCAAACTCAATAATTCTTCCAGTAAAAGGCTTTATTATGTTTCCCGCTGCACTGTACACCAATCACAAACTGTAAACTTTACAACAATGTATTTTGAACCAATAAGACTGTGGATCCTAATTTGTACCAATCACAGCAATATTTATTCTTTTCAGCTATCTATAAAATTTCTATGTCTGTAAAGGTGAGTCATGTTGGATCCGAGAGAATTCCCCTGACATCCTTCCTTTGCTAACAGAAGGAAACGGGCAGATCTGGCGTGCATCACAGAGACCTGGCTGGACGAAGCTGGAGGTGTGAATCTGACACAGCTTTGCCCTCCAGGTTTCTCTGTGCAGCACCAGCCAAGATCCAGAGGGCGGGGAGGCGGGGTTGCAGTGGTCTATAGAGATTCCATTCTTCTGACCAGGGCCCCCATCCCGCAGTCAACAAATTTTGAATGCGTCCACCTGAGGGTGGGTGACTGGGACAGATTAGGGATTCTGTTAGTGTACCGTCCACCTCGCTGCACTACAGACTCCCTGACTGAGCTAGCGGGGGTGGTCTCGGACCTGGCATTGGAGTCCCAGCGGCTGCTTGTGCTGGGGACTTCAATGTCCACGCCGAGACCGCCTTATCGGGAGCGGCTCAGGACTTCATGTCTGCCATGGCAACCATGGGGCTGTCCCAACAGGTATCTGGCCCCACCCACAGTGCTGGACACACATTGGACTTGGTTTTCTGCCAGGGATGGGAGGAAGGTGGCGGTGTTGAGGAGTTATCCATCTCTCCGTTGCCATGGACCGACCACCACCTGGTCAGCTTTAGACTAACTGCACCCCCTAACCTCTGCAGAGGTGGAGGACCCATTAAGTTGGTCCGCCCCAGGAGGCTTATGGATCCGGATGGATTCCTGACGGCTCTTGGGGAATTTCCCGCCGCCTCGGTTGGTGATCCTGTCGATGCCCTGGTCGCTCTCTGGAATGGGGAGATGGCTAGAGCAATAGACACGATCGCTCCAGAACGTCCCCTCTCAAGTAGCCGAGCTAAACCAGCTCCTTGGTTCACTGAGGAGCTGGCAGCGTTGAAGCGAAAGAAGAGGGAACTAGAGAGCGTGTGGCGTTCGAATCCGAGCGAGCCAAATCGAACACGGTTTGTGTCCTTTTTAAGGGCATATGCCGCGGCAATAAAAGCCGCAAAGAAGACTTTCTTTGCGGCCACTATTGCGTCTGCAAAGAACCGTCCGGCTGAGCTGTTCCGAGTTGTCAGAGGCCTGTTAAAACCCACCATGCAGGATGGGTGCCCTGATGACTCGGCAGCTCGCTGTGAAGCCTTTGCTCAGTTCTTTGCAGACAAAGTCGCTTTGATCCGCTCTGGTCTGGATACCATATTAACGGCAGTCTCTGAGGATGTAACACGAGCATCTGCTTGTCCGGTTTTGATGGATTCATTTCAATTGGTTCAATCCGAGGATGTGGACAAGGTGCTTGGAGGAATGAGAGCTACCACATGCATCCTAGACCCCTGCCCATCCTGGCTTCTGAAAGAGGCCAGAGGGGGATTGGCCGAGTGGGTGAAGGTGGTGGTTAATGCCTCCCTTCGGGAAGGCAAAATTCCAGCCAGCTTAAAGCAAGCTGTAATAAAACCGCTGTTGAAAAAACCATCACTGGACCCCACTCAATTCGTCAACTATTCGGCCTGTTTCCAATCTCCCCTTTTTGGGCAAAGTCATGGAACGTGTGGTGGCCTCACAACTCCAGGCAGTCTTGGTAGACACGGATTATCTGGATCCGGCACAGTCTGGCTTTAGGCCGGGGCATGGTACCGAGACAGCCTTGGTCGCCTTAGTGGATGATCTGCGCCGGGAGCTCGACAGGGGGAGTGTGTCCCTGTTGGTGCTGCTGGACCTCTCAGCGGCCTTCGATACCGTCGACCACGGTATCCTTCTGGGACACCTCGCGGGAATGGGTCTTGGAGGAACTGTTCTACAGTGGCTCCGCTCATTCCTCGAGGGTCGGTCTCAGAAGGTGTTACTGGGAGACTCCTGTTCAACCCCACACCTTTGTCTTGTGGGGTTCCTCAGGGTTCAATATTGTCTCCCATGTTGTTTAACATCTACATGAAGCCGCTGGGGGAGATCATCCGGAGTTTCGGAGTGCGATGTCATCTGTACGCGGAGGATGTCCAACTCTGTCACTCCTTTCCACCTGCTACTAAGGAGGCTGTCCAGGTCCTGAACCGGTGCTTGGCCGCTGTGACGGTCTGGATGAGGGCGAACAAATTGAAATTGAATCCAGACAAGACAGAGGTACTCCTGGTCAGTCGTAAGGCTCGAACAGGGTATAGGGTTACAGCCTGTGTTGGATGGGGTCGCACTCCCCCTGAAGACACAGGTTCGCAGTTTGGGTGTGATCCTGGACTCATCGCTGAGCCTGGAACCCCAGGTTTCAGCGGTGACCAGGGGAGCATTTGCACAGTTAAAACTCGTGCGCCAACTGTGCCCGTACCTTGGGAAGTCTGACTTGGCCACGGTAGTCCACGCTCTGGTTACATCCCATTTGGACTACTGCAACGCTCTCTACGTGGGGTTGCCTTTGAAGACGGCCCGGAAGCTCCAATTAGTCCAACGCTCGGCAGCCATGATACTAACTGGAGCGGAGCGCAGGGAGCATACAACTCCTCTGCTGCACCAGCTCCACTGGCTGCCGATCTGCTACCGGGCTCAATTCAAAGTGCTGGCGTTGGCCTTTAAAGCCCTAAACGGTTCTGGCCCAACTTACCTATCCGAACGTATCTCGGCCTATCAGCCCACCAGGACCCTAAGATCTTCTGGGGGGGCCCTGCTCTATCCCGCCTGCTTCACAGGTGCGGCTGGCGGGGACGAGAGACAGGGCCTTTTCTGTGGTGGCCCCGCGGCTATGGAACGCCCTCCCCATGGAGGTAAGATCAGCCCCCTCATTGATGGTATTCCGGAAAAGACTAAAAACCTGGATGTTCGAGCAGGCGTTCGGTTAACTCAGTGCAATAAGTGTAATGATTGAAGGACTGGCAATTTGGACGACGAAACTGGATCGCGATTTTAGTCAAGAGATGAATTGGATTGTTTATTGATATATGTATTGTGGATTGTGTTTTTATGTTTTTAAACTGTATACTGTTGTTTGTTATAAGTTGTTGTAAACCGCGTTGAGTCGCCGGCTAGGCTGAGAAACGGCGGTATACAAGTATAGCAAATAAATAAATAAAGCAATCCCAGACTCTGCCCTCCACCCTGTAGCACACAGGATAAACCCTGAAATTTGGGCAATAGGGAAGAATAATAAGTTTTAATTTTCCTATTTAAACCCCTACACTCCTTAAAGATTATATATTAGCATCTCCTTTTTTTTTTTTCCCCTTTTTCTCATTTTTTCCCCCTTTTTTTCACCACAGTGCTCCCCTCCACCCATTTCAAGCCACCCTTCTTACATTTCATCTGTCCAAAATTTCATTTCTTCTTGTGACGGTAATTTTCCTTCCTTATTTTTTAATCCATTTACCACAAATCTTCCCCATACAGCATCAAAATCGCTTTGTTTCCATATACCTTTTTTAACCTTTAATATACATGTCAATTTATCGTTTATTGCTATTTTTCATGCTTCTTTATACCACTCCTCTATTTGTATATTCATTTCTTTTTTCCAATTCCTTGCTATAAGCAGTCTTGCTATAGTTAGTAGGTTTGTTATCGCTTCTTTATCCTCCTTTTTCAATTGCTTATCGTTATATAGTGATAGTAATGCTATACTAGGACTTTTATCTAATTTTATATTCATTATAGTTTCTATTTCTCTAAATACTTTCTCCCAAAAATTATTTACATATT